TACCAAGTGAATGCATTTGTCATTTTTTATTTTTTAGTTTTTATTTTCTAAGAAAATTGTTTTTTTAGAAAACAGAATTAGAACTATTTTTTGTAAGTAAACACACTTTAAAATTTTTATAATTCTTGTTATGTTTTTAAATAATTTTTTTATTTAAAATTTATAAATAATTTTTATTGGTTAAAAAATTATTTTTTTTTATGAAAAATTGTGCTTTGTTCTTTGATGCAAGCTTAGGAAGCAAATCATATAAAAAAATTAATTTCGGGATAAATTTAATATTATTTCTAAATTTAGGGGACTATTCCTTTACACTCTGTTTGGGATAGGTGGAAAGTTGGGAGGAATGAAAATAATAGTGGACAATAACTGGAGAAAGTCATTTTCCATTGTTCGGGAGTAGGAAGGAAAATCCAAAGGAAAGAAAATTACGTTAAAAATCCTCCCGGGCCCACAACATTCTAATCTCTCCCAATCGGAGAGAATAATGCATGGTTTGAGAGGCAAATGGCACTGTGTATAAACATTTACAAAAATACCCATCATCTTCTTTTAAAACGTGTTCCAGCAAAAAATTCCAAAGTAATTCACTAATCTACTTTTGCAAAAAATTTGATAAACTTTTGAACACTTACGATTAACCAAAGATAAAAAAAAAAATGTTATTTTTCCTATTTGATAAAAAGGTCATGAAAATATCTTATGCATCCTTAAAATATTACTTCTCCTGTCTCGTTCTGTTAACATGGTTTGATAAAATACGTATATTAAGAATTTAGTCAATAAAAGTCATTTTTTCCCTTTTTACCCTTAACTCATTGAGATATTAATAAAAGTCATTCATTTAAGGAAAAATTATAATTTTATCCCTGTAGTTTGCCATAAATTATTAATTTGTCTTTACATTTTGCCCTTGTAATTTGCCATAAATTATTAATTTGTCTTTACATTTTGAAAAATACACTATGATATCCCTAATGTTTGATTCATTATATAATTCTATCATTTTGTCCAGTTTTTTCCATTTTTTAGTGCAAGTCAAAGGAGAAAGCCCCAGTCAGATGAGAGAGATTATAAAATGTCCCCAAAACACCCTTAAGAGTTTTTGTTGAGAACAAAGTCTCTCACATGCACAATAAAAGCAAGCTGCAACGGAAAAGGTGAACAAAGAAGAAACGCAATTCGAATCGCAAAAAAAAAAAAAAAAAAAAAAAAAAAAAAAAAAAAAAAACTATGATCATCACCCGTAAGCTGAGATTGGTAGTTATTAGATGTCCAGTCTTATTAATACAGGTCGTCTCGGAAATGCAAAGTGAGTAAAGTGGTGATCGTGACCGAGCGAGCGGTCGATTTGCTTGCTCCATGTGGTATTCGGTGTCGTCCGATGTGATTTTATTTTAGGTAGCATAAGTCAAAAGGACGGAGACAGCACCAGGTCAGATTGAGAGGAGAGGTAGACAAGAAAAGTGGTCGCCCGCGCAACAAAGCACGCTTTAAGAGGGATGTTTTGCTTGGAGCAAACGTGAAAAGGGTCCTCTCACACTTTGGCGACACGAATAAAAAGCAGACGGCCCTTGCGAGAACGGAAAAACGCGTGTGATAAAATGAGAGAGAAAGCATGCCAATAAGATCGATCGCAGCAAAAAGAATATAGAGCAAAGAGAAAAGAAGAAAAAGGAACGCAAAGACGCAAGATCAAGGAGCAACTTCCTAAGAAGTTTGTAATAGTGCTTTGATGAGTACCGAAATTGCAGATGCTTAAATGTGAATAGATTACCTATGTAAGCTAGTCAGCAGTCCAGTCCGAAGAAATAAAACTACAAAATTGGGATGTTTATTCAACGGCTAGTCTCAATTAAGCACTGCGTCAGAGTTCTAAAGAGAAATAGGAGTAAAGATTCTTCGCTCATAGCTATTAGAGAGAGAATGATAGTCAGTACAAGTAGGCGACAAGACCGATTTGCTAAAAGCTTACAAAAAACTTCACGGTCATATAGTCTCGATAAATGAACATGCATGAGTCCTGCATCTAGGTGATGTTAGATGCTGGCTTTTTTCGGAGGGAATAGGAGGTATAGAAGTATTTTTGTCAGGTGTGTAGCAAACATATAAATTTGGCTGTCATTGTATGTGCTTTGGTTAGTCTTAATCGATGTAGTTGGTGTCTGCGAATGAACACGGGAAAGGCCGATAATGTCAAATAAGTACAATGTACAGTTGATTGTAGAAATTAACGTTGTTCTTCGATTGGAGCTAGCTAAATTGGGAAATAGGATGATTATAGGTCAGAATTGGTGGGAAACGTTGAATTATCATGTGTATTCACCAAATGTCGTAAGCGAGTAACTTTGACGGTTAGAAGAGTGCATAACGAAAACGAGCTAAGATAAAACAGAAACTATCTTATTTAGACCATGAGATTTTAATAGAAATCTATAGCACATGTTAAAAAAAAAAAAAAAAAAAAAAAAAAAAAAAAAAAAAAAACAATAAGCAACTTCTAAATTGTATATGTTTTGTACCAATTGAAGCTTAATACCTGCAGTCAGTCCAGAAATAAACTACAAAAATTGATTTTTCAATCTCTAGCCCAGTTTAAAATAGTAAAATTTTCCTCTATTGAGAAAATTTCAAACAATACCAACTTTTGAAACTTACAAAAACTCTCAATTAAAACATGCATTCATAGTGTGTATGGTTTTTTCGGGATAATTATATTTTTAGTGTTCAAATTTTTCATTTTTTTTTCTATTTTAGTGTCTGAACGGAAAACGATATCAATTAAGTACATGAACATTTTAAAATTAAGTGTCTTCGATTGAGCTAGCTAATTGGAAATGTGATTATACAATTGTGGGACCTATTTTTTCAATTCGTAGCAGCTGACGTGGATAAAAAGAGCTAAATAAACAGAATTTTACATGGATTTTAATAGAATTAACATTTTTAACCTTAGTTTATTGTTGCCCAACTAGATCCTTCTCTGTCTATCCTATTGATCAAATCCCCAAGCCAAGCTCAAAAATCAAAATTAATTTCTATCATGATATTAAGTTAAATCATTGGAGTGTAGGAACACTAAGAGATTGTAGCCCAAAAATTATAAATGTAGAATCAATACAAATTATAAGAACAAAGAAAAAAAGAAAGAAAAGAAAAAACCTTATATATTTTGAATTCCAGTAACTCAAATTCATCTAATACACAAAACATGCAAATTGAAGTTAAATAAAACAAAACTCATTACTAAGTAAAAATTATGAAAACAAATACCAACTCCTTCTTTATCTATCTTGTAGAACAAATCTCAAAGTCAACCTCAAAAATAAAAATTAATGTTTGTAATGATATGCAATTAAATACCAATGACTGAGAAATCAAAGGAGTGCAGGAACAATTAAGAAGATTATAGCCCAAAAATTGTAACAGTAGAATCAATACAAATTATGAAAAAAAAAATCCTCCCACATCAAGAATTCCAATAACTCAAATTCATCTAATACATAAAACATGAAAATTGAATCCCAAAAAAAATAAAACACATGACCAAGTAAATACAGCCCATAAACTTGTACCTAACAATTTTCCAAATCGAAGCCATTTTTTTTTTGTCTTACTTTCATGAAGAAATTTATTTAAAAAAAGTGTAAAAAAAAGTTTATATTAAAAAGAGAAAAATAGAATAAGTGCACCGTCGGTCTTAAGGGAAATGAGGAGCCATGAAGCTAGTTTTCTTTATGCAATACGCAAGGTATGATGAATGATTAGGCAGTTAATCGACAAGATTCAATAAACTCCTGATCTAACACCTTCAATGTCTGTAAGAGGTGGCGTTGGAAATTAAGTCATCGGTTTCTCTGAGAATTGAGTACTTTCGAGAGGATTTTAAGGAGAAGCTCGTCAATTTTAAGTTTTGGCATTCTTGAGCCACAGGTCTAACCAGCTTGGTCATCGCACCTTTTCTTCAATGGCGGGTTAAGGTTTGTGATTGATTTCTCTGATGAAAATAATAAGACATCGCTATAATCAGTAGAGACAGAAAGAGATTGTTAGGCAACAAAAGTGAAAAAGATCAATTTCATTAAAGTCCACGTCAAGTTTGGCTTACGTGGCAAATTTGAAACTCTTTTTGTCCACGTTAGCTACCATATATTTAAAAAATAGGTCCTACAATTATACAATCACGTTTCTGGTTAGCCAACTTAGCCGAAGACTTAATTGTAAATTTTAAAATGTTCAAACACTCAATTGATATCGTTTTCTGTTTAGACACCAAAATAGAAAAAAAATGAAAAGTTTTAACACTAAAGATATAATTTTCCTTGGTTTTCTACACGGCTGCTCTTGCACAAACAGTAAAAGAATGAGTTTTTGAGAGAAACCGAAAAAAAAAAACAATATATATATAGCAATTGCACATGTTGTAGAAAAGCCGATTTAGAGGATCTAAACGAAATCTTGATGGATGGAATGTAAAAAGCCATTGAAGGCGAGAAAGAATAAGATTTTTGAGTTATTTTGAATTGCGTTAGACTTTGAAAAGGAAACTGGAACTTTCCGTTAACATTTAATGAGGGTAATCAATTATAATGAGGGCCACTATTGTCTTTTCCACTGTTTTTAACTGTTAAAATGAGATAAACTGCATGGAATGACAAAATTATTTAATAGATTGAACATTAGGATCGTAGTGTATTTTTCAAAATATAAGGACAAATTAAAAATTTATAGCAAACTACAATGACAAAATTATAATTTTCCCCTTTGTTAAATGAAAAATCATGAAAGTTATCATGAGAAAAATAATTATTTATATATGTGAAGAGCGAAAAATTTCAAGTTCGAGTCCTCTCCTCCATTGTTTTTTTGGGCCTTAAAAGCCTCTAATAAATTAAAAAAAACATATTAACATATTATTTAAGAATAAAGGTAAAAAAGTAAATTTATAATAAAGGACATTTTCTTCCCCGGTTACATTTTCCTTTGAATCCAAACATGGGGAAAATAAAGGAGAAAATTCATTCCTTATTTTCTTTTCGCCCTTTTCCCGAATACACTGTTGGGAAATAATTAACAATTAACCAATCACTCTTCAGAATCTGGCGCGGTACCAGTACGTCTAAAACAGGGTATCACAAGCAGTTCGTCACACTTGCAGAGACGACGAGGGAGAAAGAGAAAGTGGGGAAGAGATGCCTCTAGTAGACTACGCTTCTTCATCGGACGACGACGTGTCGGAGGATAGAGAAGAAGAAGAACCGAACCCCCAAAACGAGCCGCAACTACCAAAGCACGGACCTGCATCTCCTACAATTCCTCCTAATAACCAGTAATTCTCTCTCTTTCTCTCTCTCTCTCTCTTTTCTTCCTAATTTATTATTTTCAATTAGAGAGATATAAAGATAGTCTGGATGAATTTGGAATTTTGACAGTTTTGCTTTAATAGCTTTGAGAAGTTTAATTCCTTATTATTTATTTTTATATATCCGGTTGCAGTAGCGGTGGTGGGAGATATGGGATTGCTTCACACGCTCCTCCAACGGCTAGTACAGAGAAGCTTCCAGACGCTTCTCTTCTCCTGAATTCACCAACTGTTTCATTTGTGACTGGGACCGGAACCAGAACCGGAACCGACCATACTTCTCGAGTTGCAGTTGCTATGGCTGAAAGTGCTTCGCGCAAAAGAGAATCTAATGGATTGTCTTCGACCTCACCCCGCAACAAAGTCCCAAAAGGGAACTTGCCACATACAAAAAATGTTCCAGATACTGTTGGTAGTGTCCTTGTTCCGCCTCAACTAAGTGGAAGGTCAGTAATCTCTCTTCTATGCGCTTCGGATATATGTGTTTTCCTTTAACTAATTAGTTGATATGACCTCTGGTTGCCATCATTTTTAGAAGGCTCCGCTTTGCAATTTTCCGATATTGTAAATTTTATGCCTTTTTAGATTTCAACTCAGTTTCCTTAGTATGTGTAACACTCAGTTTATTGCATTATATTTCATTATAATCCTATGGTTTATGAAAAAAAAGGGCACTTTTTTTTTTTGTTTGTGTTAGGATAGTCAAGTTTGGATGATGTCTAAGAGTTAAGAAAGGATGAGCAATCTTGCTAGTTTCCTGTACAATTTGAACTTAAGAGTAGTTAGAAAAGCTCAAATCATGTAAGCAGACCCCCAAATTATTTGGGATTTAGGCTTAGTTGAGTTGACTCGAGCAATTAAAATGTTAAATTGCAAAATATGAAATCAAAAAACTGAAAAAGAAGCAATCCTGTTAGCTTAATGCCCAATCTTATCGGTTGTAAACTAGTGTATATAAGATTCTAGCCAATATGTTGGTGTTATTTTGGGTGATGCAATTTCTTCTAAATAGATCATATTTGTTGAAAGGAGACAAATTTTGGATGTTGCTATAATGGTGGATGAATTTGTTGCAAACAAATATGGAAAAGAAGATTTAATAGAAGTTATATGCTAAGAAAGCATAAGATCGTATTAGCTGGATTTCTATGATAAGGTTATTGATGAGAAGGGACTGAGGGTTAGACAAGAAGCGTGAAGTTATAGCTGTTTTCCTTGGTTGTGTTTTCTGGTTGTAATGGAGAAACAATATCTTGGTTTCTAGCATCTAGGGTAAGGGGAAAATAGGAGGATTCCATCGTCTTTCTATACTCAAGGGACATAAATATGCCTGTCCTATAATAATGGTAATTTCCTAACATTTGTGAATTATCAATATTGTATTTATTCATTTATCATTTTTTTTTGGTGACTTCAAATCCTATTGGAAATGATTTTGCTTTATTTCCTGTCATTAGAGATCATTTGATAACGAAGAATTAGAGATTATTATTAAAAACTTGATTCAAATCGATTAAACTTTAATTATAAACTAGTCTGAGTCAGGTATGATTAAATATTTCTTCCCTTTTGTCCATTTTAAATTTGCATTTTCAGAAAGCTATAAGACCACTCTTTCATCAATATTTTGTTAGGAATTGATAGATATTACTGTTTTCTTGCAGTGTATTAGAATAGTTGTTGTTTGCTGGTTGTAATTTTTATTTTGATAGACTAAGAATGGAGAGTATATATATTGAGGTTTAATTATACAATACATCCATTCAACAGAATATTCAAAAAAATTTCTCGCTTATCTTTTTCCCTCTCTTTTCTCCTTATGTTCCTCTTCCTTTCCCCCATTTTTTCCTCTTCTTTTCAATTAATAAACAACACAGTTAGGCTAGGTCCTAAAATGTTATCAAAGTTATCAATCCTAGATCATAGCTTACCGATAATATATTCTTCTTTCTCTTCTCCTTCCCCCTCTTTTGTTTCTTCTCTTTTTTGCTACTCTTATACTCTAGGGTTTCTCTTGAAGTTGAGCTAATCAATCTCACATAAAAAATGAAGAAACAGATACAAACTGATTGAGAATCGACTTAGTGACGTGATTCAAGGATTAGAAGACCTTGAGATAAAGAGAGACAAGTATTTCATGAAAATTCCTAAAAAATATATGAGATTCTTGGCATCTTGGGAAAAGCAAAATCAAAAGCAAATTCTTACTATTGTCAAAAAATATCAAAAGACCAATCCATCAATGTTGAAGAACCTTGATGTGAAAATATCAGAGAAAGAAAATCAAGATTGGGCACTGATCTTACTGGAATATGAATTTTCTTGTTTTGGGAAAATGGATGGGATGGTCGAAATTCATGTGAGAATTCCAATCCCAGAATCTTTGCTACTCACCATGCTACCAAGAATTGAGAAAGTTAGTATTTATAATTGACAAATTTGAGCCTAGTTTCAAATCTGTTTGAAAACTTCAATTCAAGACTATGATGGTAATTTTCTCATCGTCAAACCGGTTAATGATTCTATGAGGGAGGTTGGTTTGTGTTCTTAGTGTTATGAAAGCTTTTGATAACCTGGTGAATGACAAAGATGATGGAGGAATAAATGATGGGACAATAGTTCAAGATTATGGTCATTGTGAATTTCAGGTGGAAGCAACTGGGTATGGAATGTTCAATGGAGATATATTTGAGATCAGGAGAAGCCAACAAAAGAATTGTACTATGTCTATAGAACTTGCATGCATTCAAGATGTTTGTAGAAAAGCCACTATGGAGCTCAGACTTAGTGGCCATTTTAATCTTAGATATTTAGACAACTGGTTTCTGTGAACATTTGCGAGAATGTTGTTCTTGAGGGTTACGATTCTATTTTCTGGGAATGGATATTCACTTGTATTGCAAAGCTCAAAGAAATGGAGCTGGAAATTTGGAAAAGAAAAATAAAGAAGGAAAATGTTTGTAATAATGCAAGAATGGATTGAAGAGTCATTTCAATGAGCTCTAAGCTGAAATATTTGAAAAATAAAATAAAATAAAATAATGGGAATGTTTATGGTGGCAGAAAAAATAGAAGGAATAATTTCTTCAGATCATGTTTTTGAGTTTTGGTAACAGGAGCAAAAATAGAAGGGTAATCTCTTCCCACTTCTTGTTTTCATGGCTGCCGGTATGCACAAATTGCCAGTTCTGCTTCATCATCCTTGAGGACAAGGATGCTTTGAAGGGGCTGGGTAATGTTAGGAATTCAGAGCTATTACATGTCGTTTGGAGTGTATTGTCTGAGAGAAACTTGTATAAATATTGAAGTGTAATTGCATAATGTATCCAATTAACAGAATAGGCAATATCACTTCTCTCTTAAAAGTTTCTTTTTTTTCTCATCTTTTCCCTCATTTTCCTCTTTTTTTCTGAGTTACCAAACTAGGTCCTAACATATATTCGTCCATGTCATCCCAGTTCTGCCTCCCATATTTTTTTTTTTCTCTTGCCAGCCAATTCAATTTGCTACAACTTCCATACTAATGCATTTACTGATTTACTGTGCATAACAATTTCAATCTCATTTCTCTCAACCTTTCCTTAATAGGTGTTATTTCGATTTTCCTGTATATGTTTTCATTAATCCATCCTTGCATTTCTGTTCAACTATCTTAATTTTCTGTTTTTCCCACACTAATATCGTGTATCTGTATTTTTTTTCTTTTTTTTTCACTGCCTATCACTCATTGCCATACATCATACGGCAGAATTATTTTTATTTTTTTAAAACTATTTTCCATAACCAATCATCTCAAGTTATGAATACCTCATTGAACAATTAGAATTAATTGACATATGCAATGGCAACAACTGGGTCCCTTCTACAAATGGGGTTAACAACTTTCAAGGGTCGTTGTCTTCTTCAGGTTTTGTGTTTTTCTTAATATAAGCCAAAATTGAGACAAGTTGCCCATTGGATTAGAAGGAAAAGCATAAATTCTGTTGTCATCATTTGCTGAAAGCTTTTTGGGCAAACTCTGACTTTGGATGGGGATAGCTTGCTTCCTGAGGTCTTACTTCTCTCCACTTAGAATTGTAGTTTCTTTTAGGCATGAAATAATTGCTAAAGTGATTGTCAATCAGATGTGGGACATTCCTTTACATCAATTGCTTGGGCCAGTAATTCAGATAAATTAGCAAAGTGTGGACTAAGCATAGTTGATGATTCTATAGCTTGGTCTGACAATTAGTTTTTCTCTTTCATTTTCAATAGGATGATGGCGATTGTACTATTTTCCATTTGGATTAGAGGTCACTCTTGCTGCTGGGTTTCTGCTCTCCTAGGACTTTCTGTGAAGTATTGACTTGTTCTCATTAGTTGGTTGAGTCGTACTTTGCTTCTGCTCTAGTAGAAGCTTTGATCCTTTTGTTCTTTTTCAGCGTAAAGGTCTTATGCAGTAGTTGTTGACCTGTAGCTGGTACTTCATTTTCTGATGGAACTTGCCTGGTCTTAGGTAGGGGTGGCCACAGTTCCAGAATCGACGGTTTTGGTTTTGGAACCGAACTGGAAATTGACGGTTCCGATTACGGTTTAGAACCGATTTGTTACGGTTCTAGTTTCGGTTTCTTAACGGTTTCTGCCGGTTCTCCGACCGATTTTCCGGCGAATCACATAATTGTAAAATAAAAAAGCAGAGAACATTTTTTCTTCAAAATTTAAAATTTTAAAATTTGTGAAATAATTTCTAAAAAAAAAAAAAAAAAAGTTCGATTTACGGTTTAGAGAGCCAGATTTGTTACGTTCTAGTTTCGAGTTACTTACGTTTTCTGCCGGTTCTCCGATCGTTTTCCGGTCGAAAATTATCAATAGATTGGTAAAAATAAAAAGCAGAGAACATTGTTCTTCGCTCTCTTTGCAAAATTTTAAAATTTTTAAAATTGTGTTGAAACTAATTTCTAAAAAAAAAAAAAAAAATACCTAAAGAATTATAATGGTCCGGAGTAAAATCGAAGATGTACGTTTGTTATGGGACAGGATGAAAAATATTTGTGTTCTCTAAATCTTAAAACTTGCCCCTTGGTGGAATTGAAGGTTTCCCTCTACTTGACTATATACGAAAAAACTTGAGTTTCCTCTACTTGCTATTATAGAAAAATAATATGTAACTTGGAAAATTGAATAAAAAAAAATTAGAGAGAATAATTAAAGATTGGAATTGAAGAAATTAATTCACAATAATTTGGATAAATAATTGGAGGTTGGACTTTGAAGAAATTATTTTGCAATATTTTGGACAATAATTTATGAATGAAAATTAGAGAGATTTTAGAGTAGAGAATAACATAGAGTAGAGAGAGTAGAGATAATTTTGTGTGAGGGGATTGTAAATGAAATGAGGTATTTATAATAAATCCAACAAATCATTTTTCCACAAATATCTTTTAAAGTAGCCGTTATGTAACAATTTATAGTTCTTAGGATTGGGTAATTTGGGGATTTCACAAACTATTTGAAAAAAAAAAAAAAAAGAGCTGCTGGAACCGCCGGTTCAAAATCTGGTTGGAACTGCCGGTTCGAACCATCGGTTCTAACTGGCTGGAAAAACCGTCGGGTCGGTACGGTCTTGGCCGGCAATACCGTTCGTCGGAGTACGGTCTTGGGGCCGGCTCTTGGAATCGACCGTTCGGGTTCCGGTACGGGTCCTTGGCTTGGGTCTTGGAACCTTGTCCGGGTCGGTACGGTCTTTGGCTCGGTGATCACGTTTGAACCGCCAGGTTCAGCCGAGTTTCGCAAAAAAGGGGAATCAATAACCCGGAGACCGTAGCTGTGCTGAGCTCTCTAGTTCCAACGTTTTCCCAGTTCGTCGAATTCGGGAACTCGGTATCTCTCCTCAGCGATTGTTCTGGAGAGAGGACTTCTTCGCATGGATGGAAGGATTTTAATGGATTGTGTCTATTTTTTGTGGTTTCTGGTAGTGAGTTGTTAATGTCAGTGTTCCTTGCGATTTTGGTGGGTTTCACGATAGTGGCCCAGAGCACATACCATAAATATGGCCGGGTTCTTCTGCTTATAGTGGTCTTATTACTTTTCGGAAAAGGTTAATATCATACCCGTTAGGTCTTACGCAGATTGCTTTATTTTTTGTATTTTCTTGATTTTTTTGTATTTATTTTATTTTATTATTATTATTAAAAAAAAAAAAAAAAGAGCTGCTGGAACCGCCGGTTCAAAATCTGGTTGGAACTGCCGGTTCGAACCATCGGTTCTAACTGGCTGGAAAAACCGTCGGGTCGGTACGGTCTTGGCCGGCTCTTGGAACCGTCGGGTCGGTACGGTCTTGGCTGGCTCTTGGAACCGTCGGGTCGGTACGGTCTTGGCCGGCTCTTTGAACCGCCGGTTCACGGTTCCAAAAATGGTGGAATCAAAACCGAACCGTAGGCCACCAGTTCCAGTTCCAGTTCCGATTCGGACCGGTTCCCACTGGTTCAGAACCGATGGTTCAGGTTCCGAAAACCATAATATGGCCGGGTCCGGTCTTAGGCAGATTGCTTTTATTTTTTGTATTTCTTGATTTTTTGTATTTATTTATTTATTTATTATTATTATTATTATTATTATTATTTCAGTTCTTTGATTATCTGCAATATGTTCCTCTCTATTAATAAAACTCTTTTGGCTTAAGAAAAAAAAAAAAAAAGCATTTAAATGTCTCACGCTTGGGCTATATTTGGTTAGCTTGATCTTTTCTTCATTAAATGCAGTTTCTAGAAAGTTAGGTGTTGCTTGTAAGATATTATTACACTAAGAAGTTATACTTGGCAAGTGCATGAATTTACTTCTACTTTAGGAGAGAACAAAGGAATTAACTTTGCTCTTTTTGAAAAGTACTCTTTTTGTATCTCCCAATATTGCTTTTTTGTTGAATAGCTAAAAATTTGTTGGTTTCACCCATGGTCATCAATCTTTATCACAAATTTTAGCACGAACAGTAAAATTCAATTTGTATGACGAACCAAGTTTGGTTGCTCTTGAATTTGAGTTGCTGCTGCTAGATTTTTGATAAATTTCCAACCATATGTTTGACGTGATAATGAAATAACATATTCCTAATATACTCTACACAGTCATAACCATGTTCTATGTAGTCGTAACATAAATATTTTGGCTGGATTTCAATGAAAATTTAAAAATAGTGACCTTGTTAGTACAAGTCAAAGTCCTGTGATATTGCTTATAGAATATGGAATTTGGTGACTTTACTAAAATTTAGTAATGAGTTCAATGACCAATGTCCATGAACAAAAATAACCAAGACTTTCCAAATAACAAAAACAAAATGGAGATGCCTGAAAATCTATATGTTCTGAGGATTTTGGTTTAATCATTCATAGGTTTTTTAAGAACAAGATTTTCAATAGGCAGGGGTTGATGCAGGACCAAAAGTTCAGAATTTTTTTTATTTGTAGGCCATTGTCCATTTACTGCTAATCTCAAATTAGAGTTACTTATGCCTTTCTTTAGAGTTTTTATTGTGCAGTTTTGCTAAGAATTAGACTAATTTTAAATGTCCGAAAAATATTAACTGGGTACCCTATTTATGTAGCCTGTGAATCTACATCTCTTTTCAATGTTCTCTTATCAATTTTATAACCTATTTAGAATTAATAACTGAATTACATGTGGCCCTTGATATTTTAAGCTGAGTTAACCTTGTACTGTAAACTTTGAAATGTTTTAATGCCTTCCTAAACTCTGCAAGAAGGCTTGTACACATTTGAAATAAGTACACTTATTAGAACATACTTTTATAGTTGAATCAAAAGTACTGGTTTTTTATATTTTGAGGAACCAACAAATTAAAATGATTAACTGGATTTTTATTTGACTAACCATATTCTTTGTTAACCAACTTTGTTGATTTTCTTACCATTGATTTAGACTCAATTATTCTGCTAAATTTATAGAGCAAATACTCATTGATTAGAAAAGAAAAATGGAATCATTCATAATTATCTCTCAAGAGGAATTTTGCTCAGACCAAACTAAGATTCAATCTTTGGTTCATTTCTAAATCTCGCTTTCCTTTCTTCTCTGGTGAAACATTTTCTAGAAAATAGATGGAGTATCAAAGATGGAAAGCTTATTTTGATTCAAAGGGTGAGAAATTGATTTGTGGACAGTAGATCAGTGAGAGGAAGAGAGTAGAGAGGCATGAGAGACAGAGGGACAAGTGAGATGAAAAGTGATGACACATTGGTAGAAAGAAAGTAATCAAGGTTACTGTTGTACAGGTATTCTTATTTGGTTCACTGATTAAAAAGGGAGAGAATTATTATACTTTGCGCTATTATTGTACTTCTTTCCTCTCCGTCGTCTTTGTTTTTAAGATAATATTTTTGTTGAATGTTTGTTATAGCATGTTTTTTAGTCGAAAATGTAGAAACAGAAAAGAGGGAGGGATATAATATATTTCTCATTGTAATTCTTTTGGGTGATTATTTTGTTTATTGATGTAAACTATTTTATAGTGGAATTTTTAAATTTTAAGTCTGACTCTGTCGAAGATAGGTTAGAAATTTGAAAGATTTCATATTCCTATTATAATGAAATATGTAAAAATGTTAACCATTAGTAAATGAAAGTTGTTAGATGCAAATCGTGTGGTGTTGATTGATCTCCATCTTTTTTCTGATTAGCAGATAGTATTTGATGTTGTTCTAACTAGTAAAAAACGTTGCTGATGAAATGAGGTGGACTTTTTGACAGGAGCAACATTGTGACGGAAGATATTGGGAAGCTGTTTGTAAGGAAACATGCTGAGCACTCTTCTTCTCAGCGTAATTCCTCTAGCGTTTAATGTGACATTTTTGTAGTTTGTATCTCGATAAAGATATCCATGTCCTGACATGCTTCGCTTGTATAAATATGAAAATTTTTCTGGAATTCTGCTTGCTTTTTCTTGATCCTAAGTGCTAACCCTTTGTTTAGTGAACTGTAATACAATGTAATGCAATATAATTAAATTTTTTTTTTTTAGCATAAATATTACATTAGATTATACTACATTACTTGCGAGCTTGCAAGGGTAATCTACAGCTGGATCATGTGAATGTGTCCCGGGATGAAGTATCACACAGCATGGTACTTGCAATTATTGGAAGCCACGTATAAACTAGTGAGACAATGAGCCCACTTATTATTATTTTTTTTTTCTTGTGTATATATATATAGGTATTAACAATTTTGATCTCATTAAATTTGATAATTTGATCCCACTGAGTTTGAGAAATTTACATATTAAGCTATTTTTGCTTTCACGCCATATTCTTTTAAAAAAAATCTTTAAAGCACAATCAAGTAAGTTAAACGGAGAATGACTGTTGTTATGTAGCTTATATTGTTATTTTGGGTATTTAGAAAGGAAAATAGAGAAAGGAAAATAGAGAAAGGAACCGTTGCTGAAGGAAGATGTGCTATGCTAAAAAAAGGGTATTTTCTTTTCTTTCAAGTAAAAGGGAAAAAAAAACAGAACTCTTGCTTTTTGTTTTCGCCGAAATCCCAAACCCCGGAAGGATCTGAAAACATCTCATGTTTATTTTTTGGGTTTATTTCACCCCGGAGGATCCGAAAACATCATTTTTTATTTTGTTACATTGTTTATTGTTTTGGAAAAAGGTGATAAAAATCTTTTTGGATATGCGATGCCGATAAATCAGTCTTATAAACATTTGAGTCGCCACCCATTATTTCGGCAATGGGACCGTTTCCAATTTATTTTATAAAAGTGACTTCATTTAACCCAATTTTATTCTAGGCTTATTATTTAGAAAAACTGGTCGGGCGAACCAATAAGGTTCTGGGTAAGGGAATTAGGTACGTCGATCCATTGGAAACCGACGCCCAGAAAATCGACCTCTTTGTAACCTACGATTTCTAATTGATTTTATTTTAGAAAAGCCAATTATTTAAACCCAACCCGAATAAATCGAACCGAGTTCCTATGTGGAAAATTAGTTGTCCCCAAATAAATTCATTCATTGCATTCATTCATAAATTAAGCATCACATCCATCATTCATCCACCATACTATCAAATAAAATTAAAAAGACCGCTCTTTGCCTTATGGTTAAGGCGGGCCCAAAGCCGATTTAATAATATAGTTATAATAGAAATTATTAAAATCTCAAAATACCATAATCACAACAAATTAATTGACTTCGTTTGATTAAAACTAATTTTGCCTATTATTGATCATTTTTCTGGATTTTTAATTAAATTTAAATTAAGACAAAGTAAGTCGGTGGAAAGTGTAGACTGCGACGCTCACGCAGCTGTTCAGGAAGGAAACAGTCGCGTGGCGCAAGTCTTAATCTTTTTCTGGGGTTTGTTAATAGTTGCGCTCACGCAGCTGTTCTATGAAGAATCAGTTTGTGACGGAAATTTGGTTATGGTCCTTGTAGACTTAGAACAGTTGCGTCACGCAGCTATTCTATGAAGAACAGTCGCGTGACGAACTCCTAGCTCGTACGAACTGTTCGTGGACTTAACTGTTCGTGACTTATTAAATACTAGACTTATTGATTATTCATTTTAAGCGAAACATTACAATACAAAAATTATAAAACAAAAATATAACTGAGTTACGCGAACAGCTTGCGTCACGCAGGTGGTCCATCCAGGCTGAGAGCTTTTGGGACATTCAGTCGCGTCACACAGGAGTAGCTGCGGTGACGCGGCTGCTCTGAGTCCGCCAACCACCTTTCCAAACTACTCTTTATCTACGTGTTCTTTTTATTAAAAGTGATTAAAATCAACCCAGAAGAAGTTCAACAGGGGGCAAACTTACGTTTATCAATAATAAGTCAACTAAAACACTATGGTAAATGAGATTTTAGGGAGAATAAAATGCTAGAAATGAAAAGGAAAAGTTAGAATCAGTTACCTAGCCTCAGATTTGATTGACTGCATGCACTGATATTAGTTCTAGAGATAATGTTCACGACTCCCAGAAGCGTAATCATTCACAAAAAAATAAATCGTATTTCCTTTTTTTTTTTTCCTCTCTTTCTTTTCTTTATCTTTTTGTATTTTTTGATCTTAAACCTAAAATATCTATGACTTGATCTTCCTCTAGTTTACTCAGTTGAGTTCTTGAGGAAAAGGCTCTAGTTCATTAATTCAAGAAACTTAAACTCAATAGGTTATCTTTTTAGGGAAATGAGAGCAAAATGTCCAAAAGTTCCCGTTTTTGTGTAAAATTTGTATTTATATTGGCTAGGGCAACAGAGCATAGTCGCGTCAGCGTAGGTAATAGCTGCGTGACGCACTCGGTAAGCTGTGTGACGCACTCGTAGTTGGTGACGCGACTTACTTTTCGTTACAGTTTGCCGCGTTATCCATCAAACAGTGCAGGCCCGTTTGGCACGGTCGCGCGCCAAGTTCAGCTGTTAGAGCTGGTGACGCGGCTAAGCAGTGCCGTTCCCACGCAGGTACCAGCTGCGTGGACGCAGCCTAACACGGTCAGGCTTCCTTTAGGCGGTTTGGTTCAATTTTTGGTTTCAAAAACACTTTCGGTTTTATCGTGATATCCTTATCCCTTGTCCTCATATCACTCATCGGGTTCAGGTGTGGGTATAAATTACGCGTCAACAGTTTTGCCCCCCCACTTTATTAATTGTATAACAATTAATGTTAAAGTGGTCCATTGATTGCGCCTTCTATCAGGCAATTCACTCCCGAAGTCGTTTGATCTGGCTTTGCGAAGATGCCTGAAGTTTAATCATCTGGACGCCTTCTCAGCCTTTGATCGGCTTGTCGGCTTCCATAAATATGTGAATGAATTCAAAGAATCGATTTTATCGGACTTGGAAGACACCTTCGAGCTCCTTAACCCCCCTCCCCTTCCCGGTTTGATCTCCTGAAGGTTTGGATATTGTCACCTTCTCAGCCTCGCTTTCTAGGTTTGATTGCTTTGTCGGCTTCCGTTGAATTCTGAAGAGACCATCCTTGAGGCTCGGTCTTGGATCGGGCCCTAAAGACGCTGATTTTGGATGACAAGTCTTCAAAGCTCGTTTGATCGCTTGAAGACGGTTTGATCTGGCCACCTACCTTAGCTCGGTTTTGATCGCTTTATGTCGGCTCCAGTCGGTTTTGAAAAGGTATCTTCGGCTCGGTTTGATCGGCTTCGGAAAGACCGTTTGATTTTATCTGGTCAACTTTCGCAATCTTCACAATACAATTGACTGGGAGAAGATCCCGAACAGCTTCGCAATACATCATCACTGATCGGAAATTGAAGATTGTCCTGATTAGCTTCGCCAATGCACATCACTAATCAGTAAGACTATCGGCTTCGAAAAACCATCCACCGGATTGCCCTTGAAAAAAAATTGTTCACTTAGAAGGAAAAAGAGCAATATCTGTATGCAAACGAACCTTGTTTAGAAAAATATTGGAACATCACATGTTCCACGCATTAATTATGAAAAAAGGATTCGAATTATGCAAAGGTTATACTTTTTGCCCCAGTACCGGAATTTCCGGGCTAGGGACCAAAAATATCCACCTTTGTGGATTTTTTAATTATTTTGCAAAAAATTTAACAAAAATTTTCGGCATAAACGAGTTTACAAGAATTTCTGTTATTTGCGTTTTCAAGGTATACCTTTTATGATACAGTGGTTGAAAGAAAATTACCTGGGCAATTTTTTTTTTTTTTTTTATATATATATATATTTTTTTTTTTTTTTTTAAAAGGTTTAAAATTTGGGGAAAAAAATTTTGGTTTTTTTTTCTGCCCCCTGTGCGGTGAGTTAGGACAAAAATCGCTGAAGTGTACGGGTGCCGCACATCGCCGTCAAATTGCCTGAATGGACCGTTGGGTGCTTTTGAAAAATGTGGCCGCGTGGGCCAGTGGGCTCAAAAAGAGATAACGGGCCCAATGTTCTTTTTGGCTTGGAGAGTGGCTTGGGCCCAGCTTGCTTACTGAAGTATCTTCCTTCATAACCAATTTCAGTTTCATCATTCACCAAAACCCTAAGCGATTGAAATTCTTTGAACTGTTTTGTTTTTTTTTTTTTTTTTTTTTTTTTTTTTTTTTTTTTTTTTTTTTTTTTTTTTTTTTTTTCAACCTTCGAAAACGATGGTCTCAGATTTCAGAAATACCCTGCTTCTACTTACACTCGGGAGATGGAGACCCTCGGCCGCTACCCGATATCCCGACCTTTGACGGCGAACCGTGCGGTGAGCGGAACCGCCAACCCCCGGACCGGCCGTTGCAGCTCCGTTCCGTCGCCGGGTACGAGTTCCCGGTCAGGTACGAGACAAGCCGGATGTCGGCTTTCAATCCGAGGATAAGTAAAAATATTCCTTCTCTTTTTTTGTTTTTATACCGCTTTTGATCCGTTATTCGTAGTATATGACCCTTTTTTTGAGTTTATTGCTTGCGTCAACAGTCGCGTCACGGCAGGTAGGAGTGCGTTTGGCGCGGCATATTTCCATGTTGATTGACGCCCCCCCCCCCCCCCCCCCCCCCCCCTACGCAGCTTTCTTGAGTGAACAGTTGTGTTGACGCAACTGTTCGAGGGCGCTAGAACCCCTAGCTTTGCCTTGAACTTAGAATCGACCTTTTTCATTGTGTTAGGCTTGATTTGTTGACATTGATTGATTTGGTAGCTCTAGCCGGACTTGATTTT